GTGCGATTCACGTGTTCTGTGCCTTTATGACTTGTCCCCAATGTGGGTTGATTGAAATATGTAAGCTTACCTAGTGTCTGACTTGGTTTGCTTGGGGACAAGCAAACGGTTAAGTGTGGGGGAGTTTGATAGACCGTCATTTACACATGTTTTTACCCCCGTTCTTACACCGTTTGAGGTGTTGATTCTCGTGTTTTAGGCCGATTTCACGCTAGGTTGTGCTTGTTTGTGATATTTCAGGTCCTAGTACGTGAATGAAGGCTTAGGAGCGAGTCTGGGGTCGATTGGACGAAGAACGGACGAATGGCGAGGTTTTTGGGGAGCTGCACGGGCAGACTAGGGAGGCTGCACGGCCGTGCACGTGAGCAATCTGGCCGTGCGGTTTTGGCCGAGGCCGAGCACGGGCACCCCTGAAGATCTGCACGGCCGTGCACCCTGGCCGTGCAAGATGGCTGAAGGTCGAATTAAATGGTACGCTGCGTTTTGGAGTGCACGGCCAGAATGGTGATATGCACGGCCGTGCACCCTGGCCGTGCGAGTCGGGAAAGCCTGGTTTTAGAGCCTATTCCGAGCCAGAAGTGAGAGAATCGTGTTTGGAGAGCAAAAACAGAGCCCTAGAGAGAGAAAGTGCGAAGAACACACCCTAGAAGCTGTCTTAGAGCCGGATTTCATCGAATCGAGCTTGGAGATCGTCATAGGAATGGAAATCATCGTCCTGGAGCAGATTATCCTCATCGTTATGAGTATGACTAATCCGATTCTTGTTTTCTCTTCTCTCTCTATGGAGTAGAACCCTTCTCTCACTTGGGTATGAAGAACCCTAGTTCCTTGTGTTAGGAATTTGATTGTAATGACTTGGGATGATATTACTGTTTGATTTTAATCGAATGACGCATGTTTATTGAATTGATTTGAGTCTGATCAGCTTTTCTCAATTTCTGCTGCAACCTGAGATAGATAGAATCTGATTAGGTTGTTAGAGCCTCTTCATTCGATAGTAGGAGATTGGCTATACGAGAGTTAGCCAGTTTACTGCTTTGTACTGGTGTTCTTGGCGCCAGTAGTGGAGTTCTGTGTTCATAGCCTCAGCTTTCTATCCCGGTGAAGACTAGTCGTCTGCCGGGTAGTTAGACTGAGAGGGCTTGGTCAGCTTAAGAGATTCCAAGCTACTGTCGGATCTTCCGCAGTCTAATCAACAGTAAATCAACCCAGGGAATTGCAATTGAACCTAACTAAGGGGCTAGGGGGACTCAATCCCGAGTGACTCTTACCTGCTTTAGAAAACCGAACAGTTTACTGCTTTCTTGTTGCTTTTACTTTTCACAACAATCACTCGAACTAGTTTGCTAGATAATAGAGAATCACGGAGTAAGCAGTAGATCTAGACCCCGGGTTGATAATTAAACTTGCCTGTTACTGCATTCCCGGGCTGCGATTCCACTTGGTCGCAGTTTGGTGTTGTGTTTTGGCGTGTCAACCTCTCTCGAATTCGCCCAAGTCTCCACCGTCCTCCCTAACGACATCGTCTTACTCCATCCTATTCTCCCCAAACGCCTTTGACTTAAACACTAGCGACCCTCCTTCCATTAACCTGTAGCACTCACACCGGAGACAGGTGATTAGCGACTCATTCTCCTCCCTCAATCGAAAACAACAACAATCACCACTGGCGGGAGTTCCATCTTCTAGATTCTTCACCGTCGACAACAACAGCGTGTTCGGGCTTTCTCCACCATCTGGATCTAGAGATTGAGAGGTGACCAATCCCCTCCCTCACGCCACACTTCTTCTTCGTTCCTCTAGATCCTCCAATCCATCTCGCAAAAAAAGCCACAGCCTCCGCTGCCTTCTTCTCCTTCTATCCAAACCCACCTCCCCTATCTCGAAGATATCCGAAGCCACCACCGTCTTCTTCTTTTTCTTCCCCCCAAGCTCATTTGGCGTCTCGCGAAGAAAGCCACGACAAATGTCGATGTCTTCTTTTTCTTCCTTCAGCTCCGCCTTCGATCTCGCGAAAGGGGAGTTGTTGTTCTCTCCTCAACTACGATCTGAATCGCAAACATGTGGCTTGAGATTTTTTTTATCTGTTACTTTCTTTGAGCACTATGGGGCCATATACGTATTGCTCAGTTTGATTTTCTCCCAGGATAGTGGATTTTTTTGGGTTGGGGATTCTTCTTGGGAAGCCGGCGGTGAAGGAATGGGCGAAGAAGAAAAGGGTGTAGCGGCCACTCCGATCCCAGTGTAAAATAACTATTTTTTGAATTTTTAATTTTTTTTAAATTGACATGTCATTAATTTAATGGTCCAGTCATCGCTTTTGTTTGCCACGTCATCAAAAAACTGACGGAGTTAACTGAGTTTGACGGGGCTAACGGCCGGTGACTAACGGTGAAATGATTAGTAAAGTTAGTGGCGAATTAGAAAGAAAAGTAATTCGGGTGACAAACATGAAAATTTTATGTAATTTGAGTGACCAAACGTACAATTAACCCTTCATAAAACAAAACAAATGAACCAGTACCAAAATTAAAAAAAAATACAGATCTAGATTTGTACATTTCCCAACTATCTTCCAGAGAGAGGACTGCAATAAACAGGACGGTGGCAGCTCCTTTAATAAGCCGAGTAGAGAGAGAGAGGATGGATGGTCGTGGGGTGGAGGGAGGGAGCATGGGATGGCGGGGGGAAGGGGTTATGGACTTATGGGTGGCGTGAGAGAGAAAGGGAGTGGGGAGCGGGGGAGGGGTTAGAGACTTAGGGGTAAATGGTGTGGCTACGAGAGGGGAGGAGGGAGCAGGCGGTAGGTATGGCGCCGGCGGGGAGGAAGGAAGGAGAGGGGCGGAGGGATGGTGTGGAGATTGGAGAGAGACAGGGTGCAGTAGGGTTTAGATATAATATATAGAGTAATCAAGTGTGCTATTTTTTTATTTTTAAAAACATCCTTAATCTAATCTTTACCGTTAATTTAAAATTATAGTAAAATAGAGATGATGAATGGTATAGATTTTGGTAGTCACCGTGCTTACTCAAAATTGAGTAACAACGCTAACCTATTCCGTGAATCGTCGTCAAGAGACACGATTTGACTTCATAGAGGCAGTTAAAAAGGTTATTTACGAGCCCAAATCAATCATTTAGTGATTTCATCATAATTTTGTGCTCGATTATCCAATCGATATAATTTATTTATATAGCATAACTTTTCAAAAGAATTTTTTACAACCGAATAAAAATTGAAGAACGTCCAAGGTTTCCACATATGTAAAGCGTAAATCATTGAAACCACCAACGAACAAGTACCATAATCGCGTATGTATTTCTGGTAGCAACCTTATGCTTTTATTTCCAGCAAACCAGTACTAAAATCACTCAACATTAAGTGAAACACCCAGAAAAATATGTATTTTGAAAAACTTTAGTGCAAGTGTGATTTTTTAGAAGTTTGTGATTTTGGAAAAAAAAAATTAGCTCTCTTCCTCCTCTTTTTCTTTTCTTATGTGTTAGACGAGCGCACGGTTGCAATCCCGACAGCGGAGGTGTCATCACTCGGGGGATCCCTGCGAAACTCTCGGCATCGCTATTCGGCATCTTTAAGGCCAACTGCCTTACATATATTCCGCCAAAAATTGTCAAGGGAGAGTCACTAAATAAGCTTTGGGATTATTTTTGCAAGATCCGCCACTGCTCTACTTGTTGCGTCGCTGGGCAAATAAGTTTTGGGGACGTGATGGTTTGGTCAGGGTTTCCTTGCTCTACGATAAGATATTGTTTATTCAGTTGCCAAATCAGAAGGTTTGTGAATGGATTCTTGATAATGGTCTGTGGTTCTACTTTAAAAATTTGCTTTATCTTCAGCCATGGATTTCAGGTATTAGTTTTGAAGATTTAGGAAGGAAAGGTCTGCCAATTTGGGTGACTTGTCGAATGTTCCATTAGAATATAATGATTACCAGGGTCTTAGTAGGATTGCAAGTTGGATTGAGGTCCCGTTGGGGGTTGACCATACTACTCAAACGGGGACATGCATGGATTTTCCAAGGTTTTGGTGGAACTCATAGTTGACAGTGAATGCTGTCGCAACCGTCCCTCCGGGGGTCCGATGTCGTCGCGTCGGCATTTTTGGGAGTCGCCATCGATCTTACTTGGAGTGGATCGAACACTCTTCGAATCGGCTCCGACCTTAGGGTCAGAACCGAGATATGGTCTGCGAAAATAAAGTTCTGGGTTCGGGAGTACGGTTACGTGTGGGGAAGTTAAGCAACACCCCCACAACGCCCTAAATCGGTACTACTTAAGTCTGATAAGTTTATGAGTTGGGTGTATTTTAGAAAATATGTATTTTTGAGATCCCACTGGACCATTAAATGATTTTATCATATTAGTTATAATTTAATTATACGCCCACTGACGTAAAAAGTTAAAGATAAAGTTAATTGATTAGTTGGACTCGAACCTTATTGGTTGCCTACGTACCCGTTAGACGGGATCAAAGTCCACGTAGTTCGTTAGACTTTGATGATTTAATTGTGACCTTTTCACCACGTTCCACTGAACGTAATTCTCGTATTATAATTTTTGTTAATAAAATTTAAGTTGATTATTATGAAAAAAAAGAATAGAAGAGTTTAAGTTATTAGAAAGTGTTTTGACGTATTAGAAAAGAAACAAGATAAACTTAATATGCATTCAGCATTTCGTATTAAGGATTTTAAAGCGAATAAATATGAATGAGATGATTGTATTTACGCATGAGGGGCCAGCAGCCCAACCGGTTAAGGCGTCGGACACATATGCCCGAGGACCCGAGTTCGAATCTCGGTGGACACTGATTTTGGTATTTTCGTTTTTTTTAATGCAGAGATGGGGGAAGGGCATTTTGGTAAATGGCCTAAAACGCGGTGGCATGGGCGTGAAATAAGCTGAAAATCCTAGGGGCATTTTCGTCATTTTAATCGATGGGGTATAAATAATCTCTAATGAAACCCTAATCAATCTAAAAGAGGCGGCCGCCCTCTCTCTCTCTCGTCCCTCTCATTCTCGCCTCTCTCTCTTCCTCTCGATCCTTCCACTTCTCTCTTCCTCTTCGAGAAACAAATCAAACCCTAGCCGCCCTCTCTTCTCCTCTTTCTCATCTCGTCTCTCTTCCACCATAGAACCGAAACCCTAGCCATCAACCAACACCGCCGCCGCCATCCTCTCTCTGCTTCGCGCCTCTCTCTCGTTTTGCCCTTCTCCCTCACTCTTAAAAAAATGGAAACCGAAGGAGAGGGAGGCAGCAAAACTCGACTCCTCCTCTCTACCATCCGTCGTGGCCGCCCTATCGCCAGCCGAGGAATCCGACCACGATGGACCTAACTCGGAGACTTCCTCCCTAGATGTAAGTAAAATCGACATGCATGGTCTTTTTCTTTGTATTTTATGATCTTACTTTTATCGGGATTTTGCTAATTTTTCTAGGTTTTGGTTTTGTGCGAGGTGGAAGGGAGATCGACGACACTCAGACCTCGTCGGCAGGGATGGCGAGCCTTGCCGCCGGCTAGAATGGGGTAGGCTCAGATCTGTTTAGTTTTTATGTTTTGTTGTTTTTTCGTATTCTTATTTGTTTTTGAATTTCTGGGTTTCCTTTGGGGTTTCGATGGGAGGAGAAACAAAGGATGGCGCCGGCCCCAGAATCCGCCGGCAACGAACGCGGCGGTGGTTTGACGACGGCTAAGGCGGGTGCGATCTTTTTATTGTTTTTTTTTTTGTTTTATTACCTCTTTAATTGATCCTAACCTCTACTTTTGTTTTGACACAGGTTTTGAAAAATGGGCAGATCTAGGTAAGGATCACCCTAAACTGAGTTTAGTATGACTGGGGAGGTTAAACTAAAATTAATGGACTAATGGGATTTTTAACATTGCTATCGGGTCTGGATTCCCAATAAAACTGGTTATGTATGAGTTTGTGTGAATCGAAATGGTATTTTTTGGACTCCACTTAGTATGGTTAGAGGTTAAAAACATGGAAAGGGGTTTTGCTTGTTATTGAATTTCGAATCTGATAGTAAATCTGTGTTTTTGGTAAAAATGGTTGTTTTTGTATGCTTTTTGACTCTTAATGTGCAAATCAGTTGCCTAAAAACGCAATTAGTTTTTACTTATATTAGGCTAGATCATTAATTATCACAGCCACTGCTTGTGATTTGGTAGACTGGGTACTATAAATCATTGCTACTGCTTATGATTTTGTCGTGGATGTTGAAATCTGAAATTTATGTTATGTGGGTGATTTTTGTTAGGTACGGATCTAGGTTGATCCATGGACTTCTAAAAAGTGGTTTTTTTATTGTTAAAAATGTGTTATTAAGTTGTACTTCAATTCGCATACGTGTGGCTACTAGTGTGGGAAATCAACATGGCAGAAAGTTAAAACGAAGCATCCGACTTCACTCATGGTGAAGTTAATCGGCATACTAGTTATAGCATAGACAAAGCTAATAATATCATTTAAAAAACTTGGATGAAGGAGCTTGAAGAAACTGATACTAGCAGATCTTTGGTAAATAGAGTGGTGCTTGTAAAATAAAATGCTTGCGTATAAAAAGGCAAGTAGATGGATGATCATAACATCATTGGTAATTGATTCTAATGACTTGATAAAAAATGAAAGATGGAAGTTGATGCTGGTACCAACCTGAATTTCTAGGCCTAAGAATGGCCTTTTCCTGCGTCAATCTTTAAATCTGCTCCTTCAATCTCGCTATTCCCTCCAATGAACTTCGGCTAAGAGCAAGAACCGAAAAACTGTTTGGAACGTAACTATTTCTATTTTTGTATAGTCTTTTTTCTTCTTTCATTCGCCCCCCCAACACACAGCCCAAAGAGCTCATTTATAGCAAGAATTGCGTGCCACGTGTCATGCTGCGATTGATGATGAGCATGACATGCTTGTCTCTGATTGGTTGATCCTCAAGGCTGCTTCTCAAGCCTCCACCTTGCTTAGTCTATGATTGATGATGAGCATGTCATGCTCCTCTCTGATTGGTTGATTCTCAAGGCTGCTTCTCAAGCCTCCACCTAGAAAGTCGGTGCTGACTAACTGCCTGGATGAGATTGGGCCAAGTTGGGCCTTGAATTCGTTTGGGCCGATACCGGGCTTGGTCTAGTCTTGAACCTGGGCTCTGTTTTGGGCCGAATTGGGCTCTGTTTTGGGTTGTATTCTGATCGTTTTCTTTTTCATTCTGCAGGTTAGTGATCTGATCTGGGCTCAAAGAGATGAGAAAAGGAGCCCAATGATTTTAATTGATTAGTCGGCCTAGTTTGAAATGGTGTTCAAACTTCAAATTTTGTTGTTGCTATTAGTAACAGGTGGTCATTGTAATTAATTTTAGCTCATACTTTGTACCATGTGTCAAATTTAACTATAAAGCTTCCGCCTCCATTTCATCTATTACGCCCATGTTCGAACTTCAAGCTTTGCATCTCTATTATTTTTAGAATTGATGTTTAAGATTTGCCACTGCTAATCTTACTATCTCGATTAGTTCGATCTTATGATCTCAACTATTTCGATTTCAGTTAATTATTTGGTGTTCAAAAATTGTCATTGCTAATCTTAATCAAATCGATCCTATCTTAACTAATTATGCCCTAAAATCGACTAGGAGCAAATTTGATAATTGTTGGTTCATATTGACTTGCAACTGCTAGTCTCAACCAAACTATCTTCAGCTTCCTTTTTAAATATAATCGTAGTACGATGTTAAAATAATTATTTTCAGTAAAACAATTATCCCGGACAAAATGTGGTGTCTACAGTTGCCCCCCTTTGTATATCTCTTTGTATAAAGAGTTATACAAAGTTTCTATAAAGACACCACATTTTTCAAAAGTAACTTTGACGATTACTGTGTCGAAGACTCCAAAATAAGTGATGTTTAGAAATGTAGTTAGAACTGAGTTGTGTGTTTGTGTCTGATATTGAAGCGTAGAATTTGTTGTTCTACTTAATATGAAAGGTAACTGCTATATTTTCGAACACTTGACAGAGTCGTTGTCGTATTTTTCAAGCGCTCGCCAGCACCGATGTAGTTCTCAAACGTTCGTCAGCGTCGTCGTATTTTTCAGGCGCTCGCCAGCACCAATATACTTTTCAAACGCTTATCAATGTTGGTGTCGTATTTTTCAGGCGCTCGCCAGCACCGATGTACTTTTCAAACGCTCATCAGCGTTGGTGTCGTATTTTTCAGGCGCTTGCCAGCACCAATGTATTTTTCAAACGCTCATCTGCGTTGGTGTCATATTTTTCAGGCGCTTGCCAGCACCGATGTACTTTTCAAACGCTCATCAGCGTTGGTGTCATACTTTGGTGTCGTATTTTTCATGCGCTCGCGAGCACCAATGTATTTTTCAAACGCTCATCAGCGTTGGTGTCGTATTTTTCAGGCGCTCGCCAGCACCGATGTACTTTTCAAACGCTCATCAGCGTTGGTGTCATATTTTTCAGGCGCTCGCCAGCACCGATGTACTTTTCAAACGCTCATCAGCGTTGGTGTCGTATTTTTCAGGCGCTCGCCAGCACCGATGTACTTTTCAAACGCTCATCAGCGTTGGTGTCGTATTTTCCAGGCGCTTACCAGCACCAATGTACTTTTCAAACGCTCATCAGCGTTGATGTCATATTTTTCAGGCGCTTGCCAGCACCAATGTATTTGTGTTATGGTATCAGTTTAGGACAAACCTAAATGGATGTTATGCATTGCCATAATTGTATGTGAAATGCACTTGGTAGACTTGAAGAAATTTTGTGTATGTAATTGTTGTATGTGGCACGATTTGACAGGCATTTGAAATCTAGTTAAATGTATGAGTTTTTGGGAATTGTAGTCAAATGAATGCATGATCCATTTTAATATGTGATGTTATCTTTTAAGGAGTTTCAAAATGATTTTGGGAATGATTATGTGATGTGTCATGCTAATGATGTCATGAATACTCAGTGAAAAAAAAATGATATGATGCCTTTGGCAACTGTTATGAGAATATGTCATTTTGTTTGGTTTTTGTTTTGCGTTTTAACCTTGGGTTCCTTTAAATTGCTCATCCTCCAGGAATCGTCATTTCCTTTTGATCGACTCGATCCTTATGTCATGTTTATGTTGGAGTGACTTTCAGCTTGCTCGCTTGAAACTTATCTTCGCGGTGGTAGTTGTACGAGGTATACTTTGTGGGGTGAGCCGGTGGTGTATATTGCTTCATTCTTCTTGTCGGCCAGGCTTGGGCCCACATGTTTTACAGTTGTATATCTCTTGGTATGTGCAGTAGGTTGGTTCCTCCTCCTTCTGGCCATGAAGTTGAAGGATAGTAGGTTTGCTGGTTGGTTTAATGAGATTGAATGCTCTCTAACTCCTTGAGATTTCTTCATCAACTCATGAGTGAAAAGTTGATTTTCGATTCTTGGGTATTCAGACTTCCCCTTCTTCCATGCTGCGCCATTTTTGCCCCCGAAGATCCGTTACTCACTTTCTATTCTCCGGAACAAAGAGTGACTATATCAATCCTGACTTAAGACGAAAGCAAAAATGTTTGAAAAACGTTTATTAAAGAATTAAAATTGAAAGCCATGTCAAGACTTTGGTTTCGAGAAGTGTGTGCAAACTGGAGAAAACCGTTTTTGTGCGGTAGTTGTCATGTTGCCAAATTTGGTTTTCTTTTTAATAAGAGAAGTGTAAGCCAAGCCATGAGAATATCAGCAAGCCCTCGCTCTCACTCTTGCTTTTGATTTTGCTCGCTTTCACTCCCGCTTTGTATTTCTCTCATCACTCAATCCTATAGGTGATTTGAGTGTACGATACTTCAGCTATCATTAAGATTCTGATCACCTTGAGACGTCGCCTTTTATGTTGATGGCCAACAGTGTTCCTTGTGAATATTTATTCGATATGGGAGACCTTGATGTAATTGATTTAGGAGACTTCCATATGGCGTTGTCGTAGACGGTCTTCACTTCCAATGAAAAGGGCTTTTGTTCGACATGACTTCGAGGATACGAGTCTCCTTGTTCTTTAAGTGTAATTTATCGACAATATCTGTATAAAGCTTCATGTAGATGGATTTTGGCTTTGCCCCCAAAGTATGGGATTGACTTATTATCTGGATCTTTTTGCTGACAAAGTCTTGTTCGAAAATACTGGCGGTTTTTTTTGGAAATGTATCTTCAGCTGGGTTTGCCCCCCAGTATTTTTCACTAGCCAAGGCTGTGATTTTCGTGAGTGCAATCTGGCTTGGGACTTGTCGAGATCCTTGTTTGGCCTCTAAATGTTGGGCGTCGTGGATTTTCAGCATCTGGCTTCCTCTCAAAATGATGAGTACTTTGAATGATGTGGTTTTGGCTATGATGATTTTCTTATTGTGGAAGTTTCTTGCTTGAAGGTCCTCAATGCCGTATCTTGAGGTTGATCGGCAAAGATCTTGGCTTGGTACAGATAGTTGGTACTTCAAATGCTAAACCGGGGGCACCCAGATTGTAAGTCCCACGATATTTAGTCTGTTTTTTCTTGTCTTTTTTTTTTTTTTTTTTTATTTATAGCAAGAATTGCGTGCCACGTGTCATGCTGCGATTGATGATGAGCATGACATGCTTGTCTCTGATTGGTTGATCCTCAAGGCTGCTTCTCAAGCCTCCACCTTGCTTAGTCTATGATTGATGATGAGCATGTCATGCTCCTCTCTGATTGGTTGATTCTCAAGGCTGCTTCTCAAGCCTCCACCTAGAAAGTCGGTGCTGACTAACTGCCTGGATGAGATTGGGCCAAGTTGGGCCTTGAATTCGTTTGGGCCGATACCGGGCTTGGTCTAGTCTTGAACCTGGGCTCTGTTTTGAGCCGAATTGGGCTCTGTTTTGGGTTGTATTCTGATCGTTTTCTTTTTCATTCTGCAGGTTAGTGATCTGATCTGGGCTCAAAGAGATGAGAAAAGGAGCCCAATGATTTTAATTGATTAGTCGGCCTAGTTTGAAATGGTGTTCAAACTTCAAATTTTGTTGTTGCTATTAGTAACAGGTGGTCATTGTAATTAATTTTAGCTCATACTTTGTACCATGTGTCAAATTTAACTATAAAGCTTCCGCCTCCATTTCATCTATTACGCCCATGTTCGAACTTCAAGCTTTGCATCTCTATTATTTTTAGAATTGATGTTTAAGATTTGCCACTGCTAATCTTACTATCTCGATTAGTTCGATCTTATGATCTCAACTATTTCGATTTCAGTTAATTATTTGGTGTTCAAAAATTGTCATTGCTAATCTTAATCAAATCGATCCTATCTTAACTAATTATGCCCTAAAATCGACTAGGAGCAAATTTGATAATTGTTGGTTCATATTGACTTGCAACTGCTAGTCTCAACCAAACTATCTTCAGCTTCCTTTTTAAATATAATCGTAGTACGATGTTAAAATAATTATTTTCAGTAAAACAATTATCCCGGACAAAATGTGGTGTCTACAAATGCTCAGATCATGTATTATTTTGCCCAGATGATGACTCGTCACTGCGCATCGGGGTTGCCTATTGCAATCTCCCTCCTATCTGTCATGTTTGTTATCTATTTGGTATCAAGGGTGAATGTGCATCGAACCAGGGGCAAGGCAAATGGGTAGCTAAACCACAACAATTTGTTGAGGAAGTGTTTGATGGGTGGGGAAATGTCTGAACACTGTGTTGATTCAAAGCTTGGGCGTGTTCGGTTATTTTGGGATCCAACAATCAAGCTTAAAGAGCTTAAACCTGGGAAGAATTTCGTACACTGTTTTGTTGAGGATGTAAATAAGGATAGCTTCTTCATAACGACAGTTTATGCAGCCAATGATGAGGCAGAAAGGCAATCTACTTATAAAGAAATTGCAAAATTAAAGGTTGGAGGACATCATTTGGTAGTGGGAGGTGACTTTAATACTGTACGTGTCCCTTCTGAAACTTCTAATCAAAGATCTTCTACTCCTAGCATGGCAGATTTTAATATGGATTGGGGACATGGAGTTTCTGGACTACAGAACCCCTGGGCCTCAGTTCACCTAGACAAACAGGTAGTTGAATCGACCTATTGCTCGGAATCTGGATAGAGCCTTGGTTAACATGGAATGGATTGAAAAGTTTAAGGATTGTGCTATGGAGGTGTATCCTGCAAACTTCTCGGATCACTGTGGTGTCCAGGTTAGCACAGCTACACCAGTTAAATCCATGCCCAAACCATTCAAATATTTTGAATTTTGGGCAGAGCATCCCCTTTTAATGGGGATTGTGGAGGTAGCCTCGCAGGTGAAGGTTTCTGGAACTCCATTACAAATTGTCCAAGAGAAGTTGAAAGAAGTCAAGAAGGCATTAAAGAAGTTCAATAAAGATGTTTATGGAGAACTCCAAGACCAGGTAGAAAACTGCTGAAAATGAGATTATGAGGGCTCAAATTCGAGCTTTCTCGGATCCTATTGCTGAAAATTTTGAAGCTGACAAATGAGTTATTTGATAAACTCACATATGCTTATGAGAGCGTTTGTTGGCGAAAATCTAGATTCTCTTGGCTAACGATTGAGGACAAAAGTTCTGCTTTCTTTTATCAAGCAGTGAAGATTAGAAATCCAAAAAGGGTTATCAGGAAGTTGGTAAAAGAAACTGGAAAGGAATTATACCAATTTTAGCAGATAGTTGAGGAAGCAGTTGGATACTATACGATGCTGTTGGGAGAAGTAAATATGGAGATTAAGCCCTGTAAAGAAGAATTGCGGTGTTTGGTTAGGCAAAATCTGCTCGAAGATGATTGTGAGCTACTTGTTAGAGAAGTAACAGCTGGAGAGGTGAGACAAGTGGTATTTGACATAAATGTTCAAAAGGCACCTGGCCCCGATGGTTTCTTAGCAGGATTTTACAAGCGAACATGGCATATCATAGGTGCTGATGTAAAGCAAAGGGGTTCTTGACTTCTTTAAATCAGGTAAACTTCCTAGTGGGGTCAATTCCGCTGCTGTCTACACAGTTGGCACAAGCTAGTCAATCTGGTTTACTCCCTCATCATACGCAGTGTAAGAAAGTTGGCTTTAATCATATGTGCTTTGCGGATGATATCCTTGTTTTTACTACTGGTTCTGGTCAAGCTATACTTCAGGTTAAGATGATTCTACAATGCTTTTATCAACTATCTGGTATCAAAAGTAATCCAACTAAGTGCGAGATTTACTTTGGGGGGGGGGGGGAGTCAGTCAAGTACAAGAATAATTTCGTGAGTCTAACAGGGTTTCAGGAAGGCTGCTTGCCAGTAAGGTACTTGGGCTTACCTCTCATAACTGGGAAATGATTCTATAAAGAGATAGACATTCTAGTGGAAAAGATCACCAAGCGGATTAAACCTTGGAGGGGCAAGAAGTTGACTTATGCAGGTTGTCTTTAGCTCCTTAACTCAGTGCTGCTAGGGATAGTTCAATATTGGATGCAGCTGTTTGTTCTTCCCAAACAAGTCCTTAAACGAGTACAGAAGGTCTGCTCGCAGTTTCTGTGGCATGGCAGTGATGAGGGGAAGGCAAAGGTGGCATGGGAGTCAATTGCACTTCCAAAAGCATAGGGTGGTTTGGGGGTGAAGGATTTCCTAGCACGGAATCAAGCCACTATCCGCATGCTCTGGCTTTTCTTGTTGAACTCATGGACTCTGTGGGTGGCTTGGATGAATGCATATAAGAGTAAACAGGGAGATCTATGGTCTTTAAAAGTTCAATATAGTAATTCATGGACATGGCGTAGGCTGCTCAAGTTACGCTCTCTAATTCGTCCATGGATGCGGAAGCGATATATTGGGGATCTAAGACGATGATGGTTTACTCAGTCAGGAAGTCTGAGAATCACTACGAGTTAAGGCGCAAGAAGTTCCATGGCACAAGCTTATTTGGTGCAATACTTGTCCTCCACGATATAATCTGCTGCTTGGATCTTGAACAAATACGCCATTGTCACGAGAGACAAGTTACAGAAATGAGGGGAAATGGTGGATGCCTCGTGCCCTTTATATGGAGTGGCAATCGAGAGATCATCTCTTTCTCCATTGCTCTTTTACTGGCAGGTTAGCATCTTTTTTTGAAATGTCGACTATTTGCTCATCGAGACTGGGACAACATGTTGCAAGTTGCTATTGCTGCTAGCGGTAATACTCGAACAGGCCAGGTGCACGCTTTGCTCTTGTGTATGCTGATTTCGTTTGTGTGGAAGGAAAGATGTGTTGTTGTCCATGGCTCAGTTCGTAGGGATCCGGAGAAGGTTGCTGATATGTTGAAGGCGGATTTGCAGTATATAGCTATTGGTAATAAAGCAATACAGACAGCACTAGCAGAACTCCATTGTCTTTAATTTTTTGGTTCCCGCTTGTCTTTTCCTGTAAGTAGTCAATTATAGGTAGTGGGAGTTGGACTCATCCAGGATCTTTCTGATCCTGCTTCGTTGTATCGGTTTTTTCATTGAGCAATACAAGAAACTGATTCAACGGGGAAAACAATCCAGGAATAAAGAGATTTTTTGCGTTCACCCAAAAGTCGAAAATGGATTAGAAAAGAATGGGTAAATTGCATCGTTGGTCACTAGGATTACTAAAAACGTTCATGTTTAGTTACTGAGAATATTTAATTCTATTTGTGGTCACTAAATTTAGTAAAATAGTCCAAGTTTGGACACTCTCCGTTAGTCTACGTCCGTCTCCGTTAATTGAGGTCATTATGTGCTGATGTGGCAGACAGTAGGGGTGGCTATACTGTCCGGTCCGGTTAAATTGGCCCAAATTGATCCGGTCCAGTCCGGTTTTTTTGAAAATATAAGGACCGAAGATTGGATTGGATACAGTCCGGTCTTGATCCGGTCCGGTCTTGACCCGGTCCGGTCCCAATTCGGTCTTGATTTTATATTGAGATTGTGGGAATTTGAGTGGCCTAAGGCCTAAAAGGGTGAGGAGTTGGTTAAGTTTTGTACTAAGTGCAAAGGTTTGTGACCGTTTATGCAAATTACCCTTAAGTTTTGGGTGTTGAGCTCTCTTATCCGGTCTTTATCCGGTTTTTTACCTCAAATCTAAGCCCAAAGATTGGATTGAATTGTTTACTATCCGGTCCCGGTCCGGTCTCGGTCCGGGTTATACGGTCCGGTTTCCGGTTTTTCATCCGGTCCCGGTCCAAATAGCCAGCCCTAGCAGACAGAATCATCTAGTCAACCTCATTTAACCCAAAATTGGGGAAGCCTAACATGCCACGTCATTAAAACTCACCATGTCACCTTACCCCGGCAAACACAACTCCCGAACCGACCCATAAACCGACCTACTCAAACAAAATAAGGACCTATCCACTTTCTTTTCCAGATCTGAAAACTATTCTCTCTAGTTCTTCATTTTTCTTGCCATTCGTTCAACAACCAGCTCAGATGATACCTCAACCGGTCGTCGCAATAATTGCGGGCGTCGCCGCCGCCACAATAAGTACCAAAACGTACCACCGCCCTTTTCCTTCATTTTTCTGCAGCAGAGACCTAGATCTTAAGGCGGCGAATGCCTAGCTTCATTTTTCTTTTATTTTCCTCGTTGGGAGGGAACAACTCCTCGAATCCCTCCATCAAAATCAAACTCGGGGATTCCTTTTGTGGTTTCTATTGTGGCGGTGGCGGCTTAGGGAAGTTCGGTTTGGAGAAAGGGTGATTTCATTAACTGGGTCCATTCAGGATGGAGGAAGAGGAGAGAGGCGGAAGCTGTCGTTTGTCGATGGGGTCTAGGCAGGACATTAGCTCCCAGGAATTGACGACTTCTTGTGGTGGGTAAGAGCATAATGGACTGGGTTAGGTCCAAAGCGAAGTTTGATCGGGGTTTGGTAGGAGGATCATCTGATGGAATTGATGACTCCTTGTGGGTTGTGGCCGCCATCTTCTTCCTCTTCACTCTCCTTCTGATACTTTATCCCAGCTGGCGATTTTCTTCTCAAGTGTGGAGGACTCCAGCTTGGACCTTTCGCCAAAAGAACATCTTCCCGTGGAGTCGCCGGAAGAGGCTCCGCATTGATACGGTAGCGCAGGAGGAGAGGTGAAAAGCAGGGGTGGGCGTTCGGTCGGTTTGGTTTGAACCGAACCAAACTAGGACATGCTGAATTTCCGATGTAACCAGCACCCCAACCGAATTCGAACCGAGCTATAATTCGGTTCGGTTCGATCGAACTGAATTACAGCTTGGATCGGTTCGGTTTTAATGC